ATATATATATATATTTGGTGCGTATTATCTGATGTTTGATAAGCTCTTTGTGAACACATTTCATAAATTATTTTATACTTATTATTTAAAATATTAATCAGGTTTGAAGTTGAACTTTGATTGATTTGTGAATAAACATAACTAAACTAAACCTGCTATCATAAGTGAAGTTGCACAATTGGTTTTGTGGATGCCACATATGGACAGGAACCGAATGGAATTAAAAAAATGCTAAATCAAAGAAGACCAGCAAGTAAGGCAGGTTTGAATTTATTTTTAATAATTATTAAATAACTACAATCTTGATCAGTTGGTATTATTGACATTATGACAGTTACAGTGGAAAATGTGATGACTGTCAGAACCTGAGATGGTTAAAATCCTTTTTTTCCCCACAAATCCACACGTACACACTAGAAAAGGAGCAGCCTCAAGTACTACATCAGGTCAGCATATTTGTACTTTTGTTCTTCTCAAAGTATTCCCGTTCACTGGTATTGGGACTTTTTTCTTCATACAATGGTGTGAATAATGTTCCGGTGATGTCAAGAGTTTGACTGTAGCCATTTCATGAGGGATGATCTGTCGGAGATCCTCCAAAGATCTGAGAGAAGTTTCTTATTCTTTCTAAAGAGAAAGAGACAAAGACTTAAATGTTTCACACAGTATTGCATGTACAACATTGCCTGTCTTCACACTGCCCAATATGCTTACAGTCTAAACACACTGTTCTCTCACACATAGCTGTGTACAGTAAAATCCATATTCCTAACCTGCAAGCTGCACCTCAAACTCCTCTGTGCGTGATTATTGTGCATTGTTTGGCTTCACTCAAACAGAGGACAAACATTTCATATAGGGAGGATTACTCTGACAGGTGAGAAAATAATGTGAGAATTACTTTGGAGGAAGCTAAGCAACACTCAGCTCCCAGCAGGCTGTCTGTTACACAGCGAGGATAGTGGCGTTTTACAAATTTACAGAGACAGAAGACTGCTTTTGGATAAATGTGCAATATGCTGATAATTTGCTTGCAAAAAACAAAAAACAAAAAGAAAAAACATGGAATTGGTCATATTTCTACTTTTTAACTTGATTGTAGGCTAAATCTTTCTGATTTTGATCCTAAAAGAAAGTTCTCTGCATAAGCATTAAGGAACACAGTATTTTCACTTCCTTTCTGAAAGTGTCCAATAAAATTATCCAGTGGAAAATAGGACTGGACATATGACAAACTGTGACTAAGGCTTTTTTTTTTTCCCCAGTTTCTTCAAATTTATTCACTGGCTGCATATATTCTGCCATGGATTTGCTTGTAGGTTTCCCTGTCTTGATGAAGGGGACAAAGTCCGCACTGATTTTCCAAGAATATTGGTACATTTTCTGATTGAGATGTGGCAGCCCAAGTATAAAATCGCGCTCATTTGAGTGTTGAAGCTGAAGTAAACATTCAGTTTCATGTCTGTAGAGCTCCCTTGAGTTTTATTATTTCATGGCACACATTTCAACCCTAGTTTTCAGCTTCCAGGCTCTATTTTTTCATAAAACTCTCCAAAACACAGGACTGGGGCATTTTGTAATTTATTGGAAGACTTATAGGATACTCAAACAAAACAGTATCACACTCACACAAAGTTAGAGGACATAAAAGAAATTATATAGCAGCAGAAGCTCAGGTTTTCTGCCTTTTAGTTCTTAACATAGCTGACACTCCAAAAACACTGGTTTCTAAAATTCCCATAATTCAACTTGGCAGTCTCACTTTACCCCTGCATGGGAAAAAAGCCCAGTTATTTAGCAACACTACAGGGGTGCCAATCATTTGAAAAAAATCAAAGCAGGCATAAATAGTGCATCATCTGGGAACAAAAGGCTTATTTCCACAGTTCATGTTAGTATTAGAAAAGTCAACACAGTTTTTGGTCTCTTGTAAACCTTCACACACATATCTGTTACATGAATTGTACCTCTGGAATTTCACCACCCCACTGATAGCTGAACAAATTCAGGCTACTGCATTGTTTTAAAGTTGGGATGCGTCCATTCTGACTCTCCATGCTAATTTCTAAAGTAGGTTTTCAGCTGAAAAAAATTTGAATCCTTTTAGAATCTACTCCAGAACTACAGCATACATTGATCCTCATACTATTAAACTGATCTCAATGTGCAATTTAAGTGGAATCATCCCTTTACGAAATGGTTAAATGTGAACGCGTACCTTCTAGCGTCGACCACTTTCTCCAGCTCTCTGGCTTTGTGAGCAGCAGTGTGCAGTATAGGATCTGGGATGTCAGCCAGTCGGGCAACGTTCAGACCATAGCTCCGCCCTGCAGCTCCTTCAGTTAACTGGTATAAGAAGGTAATAAACTCTGGCTGAACTTCTCCATCTGTTAGTGCACATCATATACACGTAATATATTACAATCTCAAAGTGTCAAGCATTTGCAAACGACCAAAGTTAAAATCATTCCAATCATTCGAAGCAACAGTGAAACCAAAAATTAATGAAAACACTGAAAACAGTGTGTACATACCATCAGTGTCAGCAGAGATATCAGGTTCATTGAGCAAGAAAGCCATGTGGTAGTTAGACACATGTTCAGGATACACCCGCTCCAGCTCACACAGAGGAGGATAATGGGTTACAAACAAGGTTAGGGCTTTCACCTAAGAGAGAGAGTGAGATGGATAAGCGATAACATTCAGAAACATTGAGTACATGGCACCTCTGGAAACTTCTTCAGTCTTTTACACTTATTCTTTAAAATGTTAAGGATCAGGATAAAAGCACAAACAGGGTCATCCATTTTCAAAAGCAACTGGTACACTGTGTGAGAAACTATTCAGTAAAAAACAGCAAGCTGCAGGTAGGGATGGCATCATTGCGCTTGAAGCTCTGCAGCCTCCCAGAAATGGTTGTCACTTTTGTTGCAGAAAATGTTCTTCATCTACGTAAACTGCAACAAAAAAAGTGAGCGCAGGCGATCCAGTGATAACATTATATGAGCCTCCAGCTGCCATGTCTGGCACATTACTGTTTACTGACAATGCAACTACCACATTCACACCTACTCAGAAGCTCTACATAATGCCTATATATTAAAAAAAAAAACCATCTGACTGTGGTTTGCACAGAATGTATGCATGAACTCTATAAAATAAAGGTGCAAAAGCTTTCTGTGTGCATGCTGCACTGAGCTCAGTAAAACCACAGCTACCTGATGACATCAACAGAACAAATTCTCCAACAATTCAAGGTGTTGTTGCTGGGACAGTCCACTCATAACTAGTATCTACTGAAGCTTCGAAAGTGCAAAAATTAACTTTCAATTCTGATGTTGCAACAGCTTAAACAATCTCTGTCACACCTGCAGCCCACATGAAGAGTTCTGATTAGGATGATGTGATGCTTCCTCTGCTGCCAATAATAATATTCCTAAACCCAAGCCATCACCTAGGTTTGGCTCATTATTCCCAGCACCAATAATAATCCAAAGCCAGCACATGTGGAGGCAAAAAGGAAAGCAATCAGAAAAGCAGTGTGTATGGTAAAGCCATCACAACAGCCCTGACCTGGAGAGTGGCTGTACAGAAAAAAAACAAGAATGATTCATTATTCAATCATTTTTATGTTATGGTAACATTTAGGGAAATCGTGTTATGTTATATTGCTCATAGACCGTTTTTTCCTGAGAGTTGGACAGAGATTACCCTTTGCTTAAGAAGGAGACCACCCACTTCTTCACTCCTTTCACACACGTTTATCACCGTGGCAGGACTGTAAAAGTGCCACATCATACCATTATCCTTAAGCTTGGGAGCACATTGGAACTCAGACTGAGTCAGCTTCATCTTATCTGATTGAAGCTTGGATACAGTAAATGACCACAACAAAGGAGGAAAATTGGACTTAAAAGGGCAAAAGGAATCTTGAAATCTTTATCAACAGGTTTCAAAATGAGTTCAGTTTCCAGTTTATGGACTTTATGTTATGTGCTCCATCTATAAAACAATGGTAAAATAGTTATTTTTGCACAGAGACCATTAAGTATGGTATCCACTGGTT